ATACTTTACAAAAGAAGACATACATGAGGCCAACAAACATATGAAAAAATGCTCATCATCACTGGTCATCAGAGAAATGCAAATCAAAACTACATTGAGATACCATCTCACACCAGTTAGAATGGCCATCATTAAAAAATCTGGAGACAACAGATGCTGGAGAGGATGTGGAGAAATAGGAACACTTTTACACTGTTGGTGGGAGTGTAGATTAGTTCAACCATTGTGGAAGACAGTGTTGTGACTCCTCAAGGACCTAGAAATAGAAATTCCATTTGACCCAGCAGTCCCATTACTGGGTATATATCCAAAGGATTATAAATCGTTCTGCTATAAGGACACATGCACACGAATGTTCATTGCAGCACTGTTTATAATAGCAAAGACCTGGAACCAACCCAAATGCCCATCCATGATAGACTGGATAGGGAAAATGTGGCACATATACACCATGGAATATTATGCAGCCATTAAAAACGATGAGTTTGTGTCCTTTCCAGGGACATGGATGAACCTGGAAACCATCATTCTCAGTAAACTGATACAAGAGCAGAAGATCAAACACCTCATGTTCTCACTCATAGGCGGGTGTTGAACAATGAGAACACATGGACACAGGGAGGGGAGCACTACACACTAGGGTCTGTTGGGGGGAAATAGGGGAGAGACGGTGGGGGGTGGGGAGTTGGGGAGAGATAGCAAGGGCAGAGATGCCAGATGCAGGTGATGGTGAGGAAGGCAGCAAATCACACTGCCACGTGTGTGCCTATGCAACAATCTTGCATGTTCTTCACATGTACCCCAAAACCTAAAATGCAATAAAATAAATTTTAAAAAAAAGACTCCATCTCAAAAAAAATCTACCCCCTTGGAAAATTTTTAAGTATATGATACAGTATTATTAACTATAGGCACCATGCTACATATGATTTTTTTTTAATTTAATAGAATATGATACCTTCCATCCCTACCTCAGAACTCTAAGAATGATGTTGGAGACTGGACATGCAGAATGAGAGATCTTAACATTTTTAATCTTCCTACAGCTGGAGAGATGGAACGCCAGTGATATACCAGAACTGGGACACAGGAAGAGAAAGAACTGTGAATAATCAGAGCCACAGATGTGGCTTTATTTCTTCCATAACAGGTTATTTTACTTATCCATTTGGGGGTTTATAATACAAAGTGATAATTTTCAGGAGGCTTAAAGTCTTTTCCATGCATCATTTCCGTGAGGAGTTTCTGTTTATTTCTCTTTTTAGTTGATGTGTTCAGTTTTGTCTGCCGTAAGGCTTAAGGGTGGCTGTTCCTTCTGTTCAATCCATGTATTCATGTTCTTGAAAATAATTTACATCTGGATAAGTCCTTCCTCAGAAATCAAAACAGCACCAGAAATGGGCCCAATGAAACTGTTAAAAAATATATGACTGACAAATACTTTTCTCTATGAAATTTCAATGTAGCACTTCTTAAAATATATATATATATATATATATATATATATATATATATATATATATATATATATGTGTATGTGTATATATATACATGTGTTTGTATATATATATCTGGTATCCAATTTATAATTGGCCAGAACTTTAGCCTCTGTGAAACTCGCTTCCATTTTCCTATTTAGTAAATGTTTTGATTCAAGTCAGTATTCTTTTTTCCTTTCAATATCTGGCATCAATTGCTGCCTGCCTTAGAAAGGCAATTGTTTGCAAGTTGGATTTAGAAGCACATTCAGGTTGAAGATTGGATTTTAAATTCTCTTCATCAGTGCAGTGTAGTTAGGTCGATTGTCCACTCATGCTCCTTCTTTTGAAGCAATAAAAGATAACAATATCTGCTACTCTAACAGATTCACAACTAACCTGTGCCCTAGACCAGGAAAGGGATAAACATGGAAAATAATTTTGGATATGAGGGCCTCTGCAGAGACTTAGGAAAGGAAAATCCGTGTGGTTAATCAGCTTGCTTTTACCAGCAGGTGTCACAACAGCCTACAGAAAGGACTGTTTTGAGAGTCTGGGAGCATGGCAACTAATCTGCATTGAAAATAGCATTCCAGCCCTTCCTTCAAAGTGCCAGCATCTTTTGGCTCATATTGCTGATCTAGAAAACTGAGCCTTCCCTTGCAATTGGCATGCATTCTGCCCTGTTCTGGAATCTATGACTTGGATGCCAACAAAATGCATTCTATAATCCTTATTCTGAAAATACACCTCTTCTAAATTAAAAGAAAAAAGTCAGTTTGTCGGAGGCTAAAGATTTGAGGATATGTCTAACTGAGGACATGCCTATATGTGAGTCCGTTTTATTTAAGGGTCAAAATTAAGAAATCCTATTTTCTTGAAAGTTTTTGAGTTAATTTTTCTAAATTATTATATTTTCTAAAGAATTATAAAATAGGAATTATCTACTGTTTTAGAATCTTTCCTCTCTGCATATTGAAGCTGAAGGGTTTAAAATGAAATTGTTACCCTACAAAGTATTCTTTTGCCACACAAGTCAAATATTCTTAGGACCTTAATCAGTTCTATATTCCAATTGCAGTATTTAGATTTTTTTTTAATTTGCAAAATGTCTACGTTCTTAAAATTACTGATTTGACCCCTTGCCCGGTTAGCTGTTGTCCTTCCAGAACTCTATGATCTGTAGTTTAGTTCAGTTTCTAGATTTTAAAAAATAAATTATGAAAAACCATAGCAGTCATAAAATTAGTGATCAATAGAGAATGCCTTCAAAGAGTCACCATTGTGTCTAAGCCATTTCTAACCCATTTTCTTCTCCAGGACTCTGGGGTAGTGAAGAGTGTTCAGTTTCTATGCCTAGTATCTGTAAGCGAAAAAAGGTTTGGCCAGTAGAAAAAAAGGAAGATACACCTAAACAACATGGAGCGTGTCCCAAAGGATGGCTATATTTTAACTATAAGGTAAGCTTGTTTTTCAAAAGTTGCCTTTGTTTTTCTTTTGTAGACACTAATTTTGGAAAGCATTCAAAAAGTGAAAGTGGCTTTTAAAAGCTATGACTTGTCCATAGGACCTGGAATTTTTTGGTCACAATTTTCAAGAAATTTTAGTTTTCCATTTAGTAACAAATCTTTTAGAACAAAAAACTTTTTGTCAGAAACAGTCTGGACACCACTCCTCATTTCTTTCTTTCTTTTTTTTTTTTTTTTTTTTTTTTTTTTT